GAGCTTCACGAGCACGCCGGCTCGCTTCCCCCGTCTGCGCGTCCTGAAGCGCTTGATCAGCGCAGCTGCTCCGCCGACTACAACGTTCAGCAAAACGTCCGAATAAACGAAATCCGGTAGAAGATTGTGTGGCGTGTTCTGCCGACTGTTCAGCAGCTCATCCCTGGTAAAACTGATCGTGTTTGAGAAACAAAAAACAGGAAAAACTAAAAAAAACAATACAAACACTGGAGAGCCAAACACTGAGGCTGCCATCTGCAGCGCCATCGCTGTAACGATATATTATATATGTTATGCATATATATGTTTCTCATCTTAAAACCGTTTTGTTCTTGTACTTGAGTGTTAAAAAGCTTTATAATAATAATAATTATTATTATAAAATATAAGTTGGGCTGACATGAATTTCCAAAACCATTTTTTAATTTCCTATTTTTAAAGAATGATTTAGGCCAACCATCAGAGGCTGTATAATTATGTTAGTTTAAAACTTAACAAATGAAGAACGTGATCAATTTTGAATCTTTAAAGATATATCGTTTTATAGATATCTTAACAGCACTGCTCCAGTGACAGGCTCCTCCACTGTCAGACCTCCCTGCGAGACTGCAGGCGCAATTCAAAACTAACGCTCTATCGTTCAATGACTCACGATCTCGCGAGCTCTCCGTCTTCAGTGCTTTCGGTGTTAGTACCGTTTGTTATGGACTGTGTTGAGTTAGCCGCCCACCACTAGTAAATAATGGACTGAGCTATATAAAGGTAAATAATACCAAACGGAGTGTCTATTATTTCAGCTTCTGTGTGTAATATGTCTATAATTACCTCAGCAACTGTAGGCAGCACTTGCTAAGATGTAGCTGTCATGCTAAGCTAACTGAAAGGCACCGGCTGCAGTCAGGTTCAGTTAGCAGTTTGTGTTGTTCTTAGAGCGGCAGTCTTCACTTAATCTGATAGAAATTAAAGCAGTCGGACGTTCAGACATCTGCTGCTTGGCTCGGGGACGCGTTAACGGGATATCTAGCCGGGTACTGATATCATTTAGTGGTAATTCTAAGCTTATGCTGATCTAAAAAAAATCATGCAAGTGTTTATACTAGCTTTAAATGTTTCCGAATTTTGACTTTTACTGAATTGGAAAGGTTTTATGTAACTATGGAAAAGTTCTCTTGGAACTCACTGTCACATTTAGCTAATTAGCTGACGTAGTGTTCAAGATGTGAGATAGATAAGATGGGAGGATAGATAGATAGATAGAACTGTCACTATGATTGTGGGCAACATTTATTTATACAGGTTCTATTAAAATCCTGTGTAATGTGTTCAGTTTTGTGCATAGAGATTTCATGTGGATGGTCATATGATCAATCACGTTGCTCTAATAGGCTTAATCTGATGTTTGTAGACCAGTCCACACTCCCCTTTTTTACTATATATGCTTCATTGTTGTCAGATTATCACATACATCCAGAGATTTGTATTTACTAACATAATGTAATGTTAATGTCCAGCAGGATTCATTGTGTGTCTCCTGGACTTGCCACAGAGAGGATGTTCCCCTGCCTGGCCCACAGACCATGGCAAGTCCTCTGCCGGGTCTACCTGCAACAACGAGCCACTTTATCTCAGAGACCCTCTAAAATAGCAACGCCATGTTTCGGTAAGAGCATCACACAGTGTCATTTGCATGTTTTGTCAATATAAGGACTGAGAGAGGATGTTTATTTAATTCTGTTTCTTATCTTGTTATTCAACGTTGACTGTTTTAATAATTCTAGACTAGATCCGGAAATCATTCCCATTATGCAAAATGTGATATACTCAATAGGTTGGAAAAGTGGAGGAGGGGTGCACAAACTCTGGTTTAGCTTTCCAGATTCCAGAGTCACGTCTTTAATGTGGACACAGGTCCAGTACTGTTCCACATCAGGCAGTGATAAAACTGGATCTCCAGCGGGTCCTGTAGAGCCAAAGCCCACTGAGAAAGAACAAGCTGCACAGTCCTCTGCAAAAACAGCTGGTAATGATTCTGCATTATTTTGTATTTGTTCACAGGCTTTTAAATTACGTCAAAGTGTGCTCATTTCTATAAACAATTCGGGTTTTTTAGGTTTTTGTGAGTAAATATAAATAAATAGTGTCTTATATATTATATATTTATAATGTATGTGTGGTAATTATGATTTATTCTAAATGTTATTGGGTTTTAATCAATTTGATTTATTTATTTATTTATTTATTTTTGCATTTCAGGTTCCAAAACTCAAGGTCTGACGAAAGCAGAGAGCATTCAAGTGAAAGGTTGCGCAGCCTTGTTTTACACACAGACACTTTTCTTTCAGACCAATCAGAATGATCACAATTCTATGTATTTTAACTATCTTGCATGTTTCTTGTGTTTTCAGTACGGGCTGTCCTGAAAAAAAGGGAATATGGCACCAAATACACCCAGAATAATTTCATTACTGCAGTTAGAGCTATGAACGAGTTCTGCCTCAAACCCAGGTACCTTTAGGAAGTGGAGCGTTGTAGTTTACTTTGTTGTAACCCAGTAAACTACCTTGTTCACATGTGAATCTATGCATTTTTGTGTGTTCAAAGTGACCTTGAGCAGCTTAGAAAAATCCGTCGACGTAGTCCCCATGACGACACAGAAGCCTTCACCGTCTTCCTGCGATCAGATGTGGAGGCAAAGTATATACAACTGTTACACTACCATATTTATATACTACCATTCAAAAGTTTGGGTCAGTAAGATACAGTTTCATTTACATTTACAGTTATTACTAAGAATTAAAGGACAAAAATGCTGACATTTTCCACACAAATATTAAGCAAGAAATATTTTGCTGTATTTTTGATCAAATAATTGCAGCCTTGATGAGCATAAACAGTATACAATCTTACTGACCCCAACCTTTTAAACTGTAGTGTACTATTTGGCATCAGGTACAAGGATCTGAAATTATGAGTAGAGAGATCAATTAGCTTGTTTCGGTGTCTTTATTTAGAGCGCTGGATGTATGGGGAAGTCAAGAGGCACTTGCTAGAGAGAGGAATCTCAGGAAAGATGTGGAAAGGGAGTACCAGGAAAGTATGTCATTTTCTCCTCATTTACTGCATGATCTGCATTCTAATGTTTTCATGTCATCTACTGTCTAAATAACCATTAGTCTTTCTCTTTCTCACCCATAAGACATATTTAGAAATCAGAAGCTGTTGAAGGAGTACAAAGACTTCTGGGGGAACACAAAGGTAAAAACAAGTTCAAGACTGTCACTATGATTTTTCTGTTTTGGTACTACTAATGCCTGGGTGTAGCCAGTCCTCATGATTCATGATATTCCTCAGCTTCTGTCTCTTTCTTCCATTGTCTCTTTCTTGACATTTTTTCATATTCATATTTTCATGCTGCTCCTAATTTAACCTCAAAGCAGAGCATATCGATGAGTACAATGCGTTCTTAGCTAACTGTGTTTTTGATCATTTTTGACTCCTATAGCCTCGGTCTAGGAAGAGAGCGACATTTCTACAAGGACCGGGAAAAGTAGTGATGGTGGCTATATGCATGTAAGTTTTACCAACCTCATGCTATCTAGCTATTAGATTAAGGATATTGAGTTAAAAGACACGTGCTTCCACATGAGGTATGACCCACACTGACTGTTAGCCTTAAAACAACCAGATCTGTGTCTAGTACATTATACAACAAGCCAAATTATGTAATTATGTGTTGCTTGAGGAATCAGTTACATTAAGACAGGTTTTTTTTTTTTCTGTGAACATTCTGTGTACTATTTTTTTTTCCAAAGAAGTCTCTTATGTATGGTGGCCGAGAAGTGCAAAGCAGATCACAATTCTGAAAACAAAATAACAAATTACAAACGCAAATGCAAGTCTAAAAAACAAAATAACACGGCAAAAGACGGGATCGAACCCGGGTCGATCGCGTCAAAAAGCCAGCGACACGAGCTTATCCATCTGCGCCACTGGAGCTGATGTTTTACAGCCACTTTTAACTAAATGTAAATATACACCCCGTATTTTTTATTCCATAGTAAGGGCAATTCATACAACACATTTAAACTGAGCTACTTTAATACCATCTCCGAACTTTCTACCACGACTCTGCTGTTCTTCGGCTGGTTCTTCCTGTATAAGTTGATTGACAGATGTCTCGTCCAGTCAGCGGTGAGTAATCCCAAACCAATGGCGCTGTCTCAAACTATACCTACCTCTTCCGGTTTGTCTGATTTGTCGTTGTGTTTTCTGACTTGTTAATTTGTTTTCGGATTTGTCGTTGTGTTTTCTGAATTGTTGTTGTGCTTTCTGAATTGTTATTTTGTTTTTTAGACTTGCATTTGCATTTGTAATTTGTTATTTTGTTTTCAGAATTGTGATCTGCTTTGCACTTCTCGGCCACCGTACTTATGCTTAACAAGGCAGCATTCATTTGATAAAAAACAGTGAAATAATTGTGAATAATATTGTGAAATACTATTACAACTTAAAATAACTGTTTTCTATTGTAATATATTTTAACATGTAATTTACTCCTATGATGGCAAAGCTGAATTTTTAGCATCCGTTACTTCAGTCTTAAGTGTCACATGTTCCTTCAGAAATCATACTAATATGCTGGTTTTCTGCTTAAGAAATATCTCTTATTATCAATACTGAAAACAGTTGTGCTGCTTAACATTTTCTTAATATTTACTATGATACACTTTTTTCAGGTTTCTTTGTATTTGAAATACAAGATTTTTTACTGTCACTTTTGATCAATTTCATGCAACATTGCTAAATAAAAGTATTACTGTTTTGAACATCAGTGTATTTGTGTATCAAGTGGAGATATAAATGTCTAATTTCATTTTTTTTTTTTACTGCAGAAATGGACTGAATTTTTTCTTCAAGCTGTTGGCGTGGGTTTATACAGGATCTGCCAGTATGTTTTCTGAAGCCATCCACTCACTGGCTGATACCTGCAATCAGGTAATTTGCCATTCATGTCTGTATTACCACCTTTGACCTCCAGGATATACCTACAACAGATGGTGTATGATTTAAAAATAAATTACATAGACGTATATACTTGTTCATTTTTTCAATTCATCTCTTATACTTTCTCTTCGACAGGCTCTTCTTGTAATAGGCATCAGCCAGTCTGTCCGGAACCCAGATGCCGTCCATCCGTACGTACAGCTCATACAGACTGATGTTGTCCTCTGGTCATGTGGTCATGTCTAAGCCAACTGTTCTCTGTTATTACAGGTATGGCTTCTCCAACATGCGTTACATCGCCTCTCTCATCAGCGGAGTCGGCATCTTCATGATGGGTGCTGGCTTGTCCTGGTATCACGGCATTATGGGACTCCTGCACCCTCAGCCAATAGAATCACTGCTCTGGGTTAGTAGCTTTGGGTTACAACTTGAAGATGTACAAAATTATATGAAGTCTGCGATGTGACATTACCTTTCGAAAGTTTGGTGTTTGTAAGATTTTTAAGGCTGCATTTATTTAATCAAAGATACAGTAAAAAAAATCTTAATATTGTGAAACATTACAATTTTATACTACTGTTTCTATTTGAATGTATTTTAATATGTAATTTAATCCTGTGATTGCAAAGTTGAATTTTCAGCAACCTTTACTCCAGTCTTCAGTGACACATGATCCTTCACAAGTCATTTTAATATGCTGTTTTGTTGCTTACTAAACACCTTATTATCATTGTTGAAAACAGCTGTTCTGGTTAATATTTTTGTGGAAAATGTGTTACATTTTTTTAGGATTCTTTGATAAATAGGAATTTAAAAATAGCAGCATTTAGGCTGCGTTTACACTTGGCATTAACATGCGACCTGTATCCAGAAGTTGTCCACACAGGCTTCTGATCGTAATGTTATCCGATCAGCGTGTCCTGGGCCAGAGGTAGGCTGCGTTTACACTTGGCATTAACATGCGATCACCGTGATTAGTGAGACTCCTACACTTATCTTTGATTTGTAAAATGTCCCGCGACTGAAAATGCTTTTCAAAAGAAAGCCCACCACTTCAGGTTGTCTTTGCACCGGGCCATTCTCTGCAAACTTATTTAAATATTGCGCGTGAAAGACAGATCCGATCGGTTATCCAAATAGAAAAGTCAGTTGATGTTGCCAAGTGTAAACGCGCCGTGTTCTGATTGACTGATGGGATCACGGTGATCGCGTGTTAATGCCAAGTGTAAACGCAGCCTTATTTGAAATAGAAATCTTTGTTGTATTATAAATGCCTTTAGTGTCACTTTTGATCATTTTAATCTGTCCTGAATAAAAGTGGATTTTAAAAAATCTTACTGACCTCAACGTTTGAACAATAGTGAATATAGCTGTTTTTTTTATTATTGTCTTTTGCAGGCTTATTGTATTTTAGCAGGATCTCTGGTATCTGAAGGAGGTGAGATGTGGTTTCCTCTTCCATAGTTTCATTAACATTCAGAAAGGTCTGACAGTATCACTATTTAAATATCATCTGTCTGCTGATTCCCCATAAAGCTACACTATTGGTGGCCATTAACGAGATCAAGAAGAGTGCACGTGAACAAGGCTTGTCCTTTTATGAGTACGGTATGTACCTTCGGTTAAAGCTGCAGTCCGTAACTTTTGGCGCTCTAGCGGTTAATAAACACTGCGTGCGTCTTGCGGAAGAACATTGTAGCCGGAGCTACTTCTCTCTGTTTATGTCTAGGACGAATCACGCAGGTATTGGGCTACTCCGCAGCGGTACCTACCCGAACCAGTCTAAAATAATCCGCATATAAACACGTATTATAGGTGTACCGTAGTGATTCAGGACAAGCCAAAAACATGGATTCATGGTGTACTCGATTATTATATACATTTTGTACATTTTGAACACAAAAACGTTACGGACTGCAGCTTTAACTCTTCTATTAGCCTTGTCTGTTATTTGATTGTGATTATGGTTTTGACACAGTTTGGAGATGATCAGTTTGATAATCCTTGTTTGTTTGTGTATGACAGTGATGCAAAGTCGAGACCCCAGCACTAACGTGGTCCTGTTGGAGGACGCTGCTGCTGTGCTCGGGGTGGTGATGGCAGCTGGATGTATGGGACTAACGTCTCTCACAGGTATTTCAAATAAACACAAGAATAGTGCCTGACCCTCCTGTTTCATGCTAACCGTTGTCTCTACCACAGGGTCAGGTTTAATAAGCACATGGGCCTGAGCTTTATCCCCTTTATAAAGAGCAGTTGATGTTCTTTTTAAGCTTTGTAAATCCAGCTCTAAACGCAATTCTGTGCACACACAAAGTCAACACCTACGGCTGCCCAGAAGCTTGGTCCTCTTGCCCTGTGGTTTTCATGGCTTTGTGGAAAATTTGTGTAGAGATCTGGATAATGCTCTATTCAGTAAACCTGCTTTCATGCTTGAGAACAGCCCTGATGGCAGTTTCAGCTCAGTTTATTATCTGGCGCTTACTACAGTTGTATGTTATTGAAGTGTAATCAACCATGAAACTAACAGCAATGTTATTTTACATAGCAGGGCTTTAAAAGAAAAAAATAGCACTTTTGTTTGTACCACTAGAGGTCTCTATTGTGGCATTAAAGACTGCTGTATACCAATTCACCTAGACTATAATTCATAAGATTGCGATCAGTAAGGTTTTTTCTTTTGAAATAAGAGTCTTATTGATATTTATTTGATTAAAAAAAATTAAGTAAAAACAGTGCAATTGTAAAATATTGTTACAGTTTAAAATAACTGTTTTCTATTATAATACATTTAAAAATGTAATTTATTGCTGTGATGGCAAAGCTGAATTTTAAGCAGTCATTACTCTAGTATTCAGTGTGACATGATCCTTCAGAAATCATTCTAATATGCTGATTTGATACTCAAGAAACAATTTGTATTGTGGAGTGCATTAGTACCCGCCAACTTTTTCAGTATTTTTCCATAGAGATTTTGTTAAAGTGTCTTTGTTAAAGTGTTATTCAATTCAATTCAAGTTTATTTGTATTGCGCTTTTCACGATACAAATCGTTGCAAAGCAACTTTACAGCAAATTAAGTTTCTACAATATTTAGTGGTAGCTAGCTTATCAGTGGTGACTGTCAGTTAATGTACATATGGCAGAAATGTACAGAAAAATCAATTAATTAAGACGTAATCAAACAGACGATGAACACTATTAACAGCAATTATTATATGATGCAATCAAACTTATAGCAAAATGTGGTAGTTCTGTAT